CATCCGTTTAGCGCTTTAGCGTTAGCTTTATCTGTTTAGTGCTTTAGTGATAGCTTTATCTGTTTAGTGCTTTAGTGATAGCTTTATCTGTTTAGCGCTTTAGTGATAGCTTCATCTGTTTAGCGCTTTAGCGTTAGCTTTATCTGTTTAGCGCTTTAGTGATAGCTTCATCTTTTTAACGCTTTAGCGTTAGCTTTATCTGTTTAGTGCTTTAGCATTAGCAAAGCCAATCTTCTAGTTAGCTGTGCCCACCACTGTTTGTTATAATCTGGGACATATAAATCTTGATCTTTTAGTGATAATAATGTTTAATTTGAAGAAGAAAAGCCGCAGATGCAGCCTCCTCTCTCACCATGAGAGACACTCGGGCTGAGCGAGCTCCCACGACGTTGCACGTGTCTGTACGTCGACACACCGAACACATTAACGTTTAACACAAAGTCAGTCCCGGGGAGGTCGGGGCGCGGTGCTCTCACCTGCAGTCTGTCTCTGAGTCGGGAACACTGCGATCACCACTGCTTGCTATTCACAGGGGCTCAGTGATGCTAGCAATAACAGCATTGTAGGAGAGGGACAGTTGGACACAGAGACTCCGCCCGTTTATAATGATGGATGGTTTCTCTTCAAAGATGGCCTCCTTTACTCCTCTCTCAAACCCTTTCAATGTTGTTATTGCTAGAATCATTCAGCCCTCTGAATAGCAAGCAGCCATCATGGCACTAACGATCAGTCGTTAGGCTGATGGTCCCGCTTGATCATGTGAACAGACAGTTCTGGATGTCACCATCAAACTGGATGATCCACTCTGAGAAGGTGCTATTTATAAGACTGAGTTTGTTGCAGCTCCTCGGACTGAAGAAGTCACATTTTTATTAAAATGAAGCCAACCCATTTTTTGTTTCATTTTTGTTTTTGCATAATTTGACTTTAAAGAAACGTCATATTTTACAGGAACAGCCAGCTGTTCTTGGACCTGCAGCTGCACTCCTTCCTGAACTGAATGTGGTGATTTAGCAGGTAATTGATGCCCAGACGGACCGAGGGGATTAAAGGCAGCAGAGAGACGGAGAACAGGAGATAAACCAACAGACCAGGAGTTTCCGCTGGCGGCGGCTGAGGCTGCACACTTTAAACCATATGCTTGTCGTAGTATTGTGTGGGTCTGTGTGTTGTTATGGGTGTGTGGGGGGGGGGGGGGGGGGCAGGGCTTAGCTAAAGAACTGCTCAGACTGGGATCCTGCTGCTCAGACAGCAGGATCCCCGGGACAAACGGAGAAACGGACAGATGTGCTTAAAGGCACGGCTGGAGAGGATGACGAGGAAGTCTAAAAGAGATAATTAAAGTGAAAGGAGCAGGACTGAACCTGTGGAGCCTTTGTCCAGATGTGTGTCCCTAAAATAACGTTATTGTTCCACACCCTGAGCTGCAGCAGAGAGGAAGCTTTGCCAACCACAAGGCTGCGAGAAACAGCTCAGAGCCTCGGAGCTCGGTCTGAATTTCTGAAAATATCAAAGTTGTTGACCCACCAGACTCTTGGTCCATTTGGATCGACAGGGCCGGACTCTGGGGGGCGGAGTCTTCGCTCAAAGAGTAGCTGTGCTCTGCCTGGATATCTGCGAGATTAAAAAGCCCCTCTCAGAAGGATGGAAAAATGGAACAGCACTGCCTGCAGTCATGAAGATTCAAATCAGGAGCGCTCGTGTCGGCTCATAGAAGTCACCGATTACAGCCGAGCGCGCTCGTGCAGGTGCACGGCTCGTACCCTCACAACGCCGCTCGTTTAGCCCTCACCAGTACAGCAGCTATCATGCTTCATGCTCACACTGACTCCATCACTTGCATCACTTTCCTGCTGTGACCATGGCAACACCTGACGGAGACACTGATCTGGAGCCAAGAGACCGGCGACATGATGACCGAGCCAAGCGGCTAACGCCGCCTCGTACATCGTGACCTTTGACCTCTGGGCTCTGGAAGGAGCCAGGGCGGGATGGTTTTGATCGTGTTATTTTTTTCCAACCAAACTCTGAATCTCATTTAAACTGGTCACGAGACGCAGCGAGGCCTCCCGGAGGTCGTAGTTCGCCACGCCTGCTGCGTGAGTGAAGTCACCTGGGCTGCTGTCCATGTCGAGGGGCAGCGGTGAAGACCGGTCTGCCAGCAGGGGGCGCTCCAGCAGGTGGTCGTCGAAGAAACTGTTGAACAACTCGCTGCCAAAGTCGTCCATCTGGTCGCCCGAAAAAGGCTGGAACGCAAAAAAAAGAAAAGAAATGAGACAGAAACTGGACGAACAACGATGATTTAACTTTTCAACAGAACGGTCAACGCAAAGCCGACTGACGTCCGTTCACCGAACCCACAACCTCCGAAAAAAATGGCCGCCACAGCCAACTGACCTCAAAATACAAAGTATCGCATACGGAACATTTGACGCCCATCAAACTATTCCACAGCGATCTATAGCAATACCCCGAACAAACAAAGACCTTGTATAAGATTTGACCTTGACTAACCTTGACCTTGGTGAATGGTAAGAACAAATTTAACTGGTTTTGACCTGAAACTTGGCATGGTACTAGCTGAGACCAATCCCCAACACATATTCTGTGCACCAACAAACAAACAAAGACCTTGTATAAGATTTGACCTTGATTGACCTTGACCTTAAAGCTGGGGTGATTACGCAACACTCCGTCCAGTGATGATTCATAGGTGTATCAAGTTTTGTTGAATTCTTTTGAGCGGATCAAAACTTCTGGTTCAGACGAGCAAAGACCTTGTTTCAACTTTGACCTTGGCTTGTGACCTTGACCTTGGAGCTGGGCGTATAATAAGAACAAATTTAGCTGATGTTGACCTGAAACTTGGTGTGGTAGTAGCAGAGACAGATTCCCAAGACGTATTCCGTGCACCAACGGGGCCGTTTGGCGCCAACTCCGTGTGTTAGCAAAATTTCTCATGGACAAGTAGACGAATGTTTGTGAGACTTTCAGGAAACAACCACGGGATGTTCATCACGAGCCGTTACCGTTTGGAGCAAAAATAAATCAAGATGGCCGACATGGACAACTTCAAAAGAACAGGAATGGCTTTAAGTTTGTCAAATGTTGAGCCGAGCGTGGTAGTAGCCGAGAGTGATCCCGAGGTGTTTTAGGTTAACAGCTGAAACTCATGATCTCAGGCTCAACCTGTGGCGGGCGATATGCATTCCTTCAAGGAATTTAACCCCCACCCTCGGTTAGACTGACAAGAAATAAAGGCAAACTGGAGAAACGCCATTTCCAATGAAAACGCAGCGTGAATGATTTCAGCTGAAATCTGCCCAAGAAGCCGAAACCAGCTGAAACCAACTTTCAACACTAAACATGAGAATTAAACTAAAACAGACGACTTTTGCTGAAAGCAGGAAAATAAAAACGTGAAAGGAGCAGAAATGTGTAGGAGAAGCTGCATAGAGCGACAACGAGCAGAACAAGCTGAAATTAGCAGAAAGTAGCTGAAGGGGGCAAAAAAAATTAAATGGTTAGAAAGAATCGCAACAGGCCAAAACAGGAAAGTAAGCAGCAGAAAAAGGCTAAACTTAGCAGAAAATAGCTGAAATTAGCAAAAAGAATCTGTTAAAAGCTGAAGTAGAATAACAGCTGAAATGAGCAGTAATGGCTGTAAACAGCTAAAGTGTCTGAAGAAGGTGAAGAGAGCGCCACTCATTTTTAATAAGAAAAACATGGCCGACGCAGCTAATTATTCCAAAAAGTCTAAATTGCACAAATACCAGAAGTCAGAGCGGGAACGTGCTGAACGAGCCGAACATTTTGATTCGTGAATCCTTGAAATGTAGCTAAAGCTGCAGAACGCCGTACGGAAGAAAATGGGATCAATAACGAGAATGACTGATGAACTCGTCTCTGTCGGAGGTGATCGAGCATCAACAGCTCAACCCAGAGATGAGTCACCGAGCCGAGGGATGAGGTTCTGGAAGCTCTGGACGGCACGGTGCTCCGGTTTACACACACACACCGTGAGTCATCGTGTTCTGCAGCGAGCGCTCAGAGGGCCGACACACATGGGCTGGATGGAATCAAACGCTCGGCTTGGAGACTCCTCAGACACTTTGACAGAAATAACTCCATTAATGAGCAACACGCGTGAAGTAAACCTAACGCTTCGCTGTAGGTTTCACTTGCTTCACCAAGTCTTTCTGAATCTGTCTCACACGTGCATCATCACTGTGTGTGTGTGTGTGTGTGTGTGTGTGTGTGTGTGTGTGTGTGTGTG